GAATTTTTGAAAGATACATTAATTCTATGTTATGCTTTTTAATTCCTAAATTGTTCCTGACATGAGGATTGAAATATTGTACCATTTTTCATTTTAGTCATTAAGTCATTTTATGTCAAGCTGTCATTGAAACACAAACAGAAGAGTTTGACCTAGGAGAGAGATCACTCCATGCTAAGTGGTAGCTGCATTTATTATTGTAAAAATGAAGATAATGCAGTGACTGAAACCTTCTTCCACAGTGGTTCTGTATTATTGCAGCTGATGTGGGGAACAGTGATCTAACCTTTATATTGCACTTGAAGAAATCCAGAAACACTGCTACAGACACCTTTTTTCCTAAAATTGAGGAATGTTTTGTGTTCTATCCCTGTGTCATTGTTCCCCTCCTCCCTTTTCACACTAAATCAAAGCAGGCTTTATCCTCTCATTCATATTTTGAAATGACAAAGTTTTCTACAGAGTTTCTGAGGTATTTTTGAATCCTCAAGCACCTGCACACTTTGGACTTGCAGTCTGTGTTACAGAAATATCCACCTCTTTGGTAACTCTCAGTTTTCTATGCAGAAGGAGCTCTCTGGAATTCCCTGGAAAGGAGAGGCCTTGAAGGATAAGGATTTGTCTCTATACAGATGTTTCCCAGAATGGCTGTTCTCCACTGCTTCCAGAAGAGTCCCTGGTGTGCCACATGCAATTAGCACCCACACAAGGACTCCTGGCAGAAGAGCCATTCCTGAACATGTTTCTCAGGGCAAGCAGACCTTTAGATCTTAAGTTCTTCAGTGCCGAGGTCACATGTCCAAACCAATTAGACTTGTGACAATTGATGATTTCACTCTTTCCTAGCAAAGTGCAGGCTGCATAAATGCAACCAACTGGAACTGAACCCTCAGGGGCAGCACCAGCAAAGAGCCTGCATCTGGGTCACTGTCTCACCTCTGTAACTGGATCTCTTTGGCAAGAACAGACAAATGTATCCCGGAGCTTGGACACTTCTTTCACTGTCTGCCAAAGGACAAGTGTGGCACAGGGGCTGGTCAGCAAACAGAGGCTCCCAAGTGAAAAGGGTACCAACACCCTTTTATCACATTAAAGGGTTTTTTGGAGAGGGAAGGACTATGGGAGCAACAGCAGTCATAGAGACCAGTCCTAATTTTCCAAATCTATCCTCTTAATTTTTTTTCATAGGAGGAGCTACTTTCTTATGTGATACTTTGCCTAAAAATGCACCTGTGACCACACAACTAAAAATTGAAAGTAGCCAAATGTACTTTTTAGAGCTTTTTGGTCCACACTTGCACAAAGGTCTCTAATGGATGAAATCATCCCCACCTCCTTCCTTCAGTGTATTCCTCATGCATTCACACGGTTCCTGTTTGCAGAAAAGGCAAACGCCTGACTCGCCAACACAACAGCAGTCGGGCACGTTCCCCAGAACACCCCCAGCAGCGCTCAAACCCAACCCCATGTCCTGTGCTGCACGCTCTCTGGGCAGTCCTGAAGGAAGATTTTTCCATGATATGAGGCGAGGAGGGCAGAAGGGGGCATCAGAGAAACAGCGAGCGCCGGGAGAGGCCGGGGAGAGGAGGGGATCGCTGTGCTGAGCATCAGGGCAAAGCGTGGAGCGAGGCGCTCCTGCCGGAGCTCTCCGGGGCCTTCCCAAGGAACTTACATTCCACACACAAAGTGAAAGCACCAAGAAAACGCCAAACGCTGGTGCTGCAGTTTCTCTCCTGAGCAGGAAAAGGACCTTTACAGCCCGAAAAATCTCCTAGCGTGCAACAGAAGGCAATAATACGCTCGTAATGTTCAGAAGATTTGGTGTGGCTGCCTGGATGCAGGCAGTGATCAGGGAAAAGGCGTGGGTTATTTTCCCCGTCTAATCTTACGTGCCAGGAAAAAAGAAATTGAAATTTCTACTGAAAAAAGAAATCATTATTTCAAGATTCAGTCTTTCAAAAGTAAGCCAAGAAATATGGCAAGTGTGAAATATTGAAACTAGCAGACATCAATTCTGGTTTTCTTAAATAACAGAGTGAGAAAAAACAACTGATAGGTTTCCAATAGTATGTACATATATTAAAAATATCACCATTATGAGCAGTCTGTGTTTATAACTCATTTCAAATGTTCAAAGTCTCCAGAGCCACTCTCAACATTTCTCGAACGTAGTGGGGAAAATATGAAGGCAAGAAACACCTGCAGTGCTATTACATTTCCAGCTCTTGGTGTGGGCACTGTAGTAAGTGAGTGTTTTAGAATGTGGGTGTTTGCAAACATTTGGTGTCCTCCTTGCCTCAGGTGCTGCCACGACCTGGCCATGAAGTGCTGAGCACAGACTCCTTGCCCATGATCTTGGAAGCCCCTTGCACAGTTTCTGCTTTGAAATTCTGGAGTTCACTAGGCCAGGGCCTAAGGAAATGTTCTGCTCTGCCACTTGCCCTCTCCTCAAGCCTACAGGTGCTTGCTTCAAAATCTCTCCAGCTTCAGTGATAAAACTGGGCAATGTAACTCTGAGCAGGACACCCTAAATTACACCCAGCCCACTGCTGTCTCCTGGCTGGTTGGCAATGACACCTCAGCAGGCTCCTGGTACAAGGACAGGAGAAAACCACAGAGCTCTCTCTCTGTTACACCAATTCCTGCCTACATCCCCACCTTCTCTTCAACTTTTGCCTTGCATGGCTCCTCCTTTATGCTCTCCCACACTGAAAAGGCATAGGGTAGCCACAGCCAGTCACTGAGTCTTCCCTGGAGGCACATATTCCCTGGGCTAAAGAAATTTTCCACCTGCAGCCTCATGTTGCATGTCCTTACACCCCCCAGCTTTAACATGAGCAAAATACAACCCTTGCCCCAACCCAGGAGCCAGCACACGGGCATGTGCATCACTAAGTCAGATAAAAAGAAAACGAGAGAAATCTCTCTTTTTCTCTTTATTCCCACTAATACACAGCACCCTTAATATGGATATTAACTTGGTATTACAACAGAGCTACGTGTATCCTCAGAGGCAAAGCTTGTAAGAGGTCTGGTAGTTGTTCAGAATACAAAATCATACCAGTTTTAACAAGAGGTGTGTGTCACTCAGGCTTCCACAGTCTGAAAACCTACTCCTGCTCAAAAAGTCACATTTTCCCTTTAAAGGAAAGAGGAAAAAAAATGTTTACCCTTCAGAATCCTTGGATGTTTTTACTGATCTTTTGTTGACCATTTTGTGAACTCAGAAGGCTGATGTCAGTTACTCTATAGAAAGGATACAGGCTGTTCTACCATAACTGGAATTATTTTTAAACACTTCCCCCTCACTGACTAAATCCTTGGAGGCTAAGGGGGAAGATAGACCAATGGGTTTATATTGAGAACAGGACAACTTACCAGAATTTAGTTCAGGAAAAAATAAGGAAAGTGTGGTGTAAAAACACAGGTTATACATATTCGTGGTGGAGGTATTTTGACACTGTCATGGGAGAAAATCAACAACTTATTCCTGGATATAAAAACTCAGGTCAGACATTTCAGTCAGTGGGCCCATGTGTTTATTCATGTCCCAGTCAAATTACTGGCAGATTGATGCATCCTCATCATTATTAACAATTATGTCTCTGCTGGAGTTTCCACAGCTATATGAAATAAACACTCCAACCCTTGCCAGCAGAAGTTTCACCCCTTTACACATATACAAAAGTTTCCTTTGCTTTGAAATTCCAGACAGAGCAGCTCAGGAAGAAAACAAAATAAAAACAAGCAAACAAGCCTTCCCCTGCTTGAGAAGCTCAGTCACAACAAGTAACGGGAGAAAATTTACTGGAAGGACTTGGGAAAAATCACAAAAGATACACAAGATACACTTCTGAACAGAATATTCATGGCAGTTTATAAAAGCAAAATAGCAGAAACAGGCATGGTAAGATCTCATTTTAATTGTAAAACATTGATCTTTCCACTGCTTTTCCCCTCAACTTTCAGGTTTTAATTTCAAACCATTTTCAGCCTCTCAGATTGAGATGAGAGGTGACCACAGGCCTGTCTATGGGGGTTACTGGGAGAAACAGCTGAAACTGGGCAGAACGTGTGATCAGTGATAACAATCCCAGAAACAAGTAAAGAATAATGCTTTCCTTTAATTCACTTTCAAAACAACCATAAGGAAAACAAAATAACAAACAAAACTGTCCCATATTTGTAACGAGCAGTTTCTCAATGTCAGGTCAATGCAGATATTTATTTGCAAAAAGATATTCTCTCTCTTATCTCTCCTGAGGGACAGTGAGAACAGTGAAACTGGGGTTGGTTCTTAGGGTGCTGATGACCAAGCAGCATTCCTGTAGCACACGTCTGTACCCTATACCCTCTTTTCCAACTGAACACTCCTATTGCCAGCTTACTGCAGCTACCACGGCAAGGATTGCCTAATAGTTCCAGTCTTACTAAAGAATACCACTCTGAACTCTACTAAACCCATTTTTAATTTGTTTTTGCAATTTCTGGTACTTTTGAAAGTTGCGAGCAATCAACTATTTGACTTAAGAGATGAGGTTCTTGGCTCTTGTCAGAAGTTAGAAGTAGAAAATGAAAAAAAAAAGCAGTAAAATATGCCTTTTTTTTTTGCACTGAGAAACATTTCAGGTGAATCTCGTGATTTTCATGACTTTTTAAAAAACTTGTGGCTAATTACAGAATAGACATGCAGATGGACAACACTACATGAATAAACACACCTATCCTGGAAAGCAGAAGGAGAGTATAATGTAACAGTACATGCTACACCTCTGGCCTGCTAAATTTCTCTTTCAGATTTTGAGGACAACAAATTTTTAATAATTCATTGCTGTCAAGTGACAATTAGCAAAATTCAAATAGGACTTAAGCTTTCTGTGCTGTCTAGTGCAGCACAAAAAAGTTAACTGCCAACAGAAAGGGGGCTGCACACTCATGATTTTAATCAAGTCATCTGAAATTTGTTACAGACCTCAATAAACTCGAACTCATCACTGTACCTGACAGGGGCCCTGGGTCACTGGGAGCAGGCCATCCACCAGATGTCACATCTTGCAGAACTTTGTCATATCCTTCCTCAGGACCCTTCTGAAGTGTTGTGCTTTCCGAGGGGTTCCTCAGCAGCACGGAGGATGTCTGCTCAAGAAACAAATACACACTTCTTTCAGAAAACAAATGGTAGGTCTTGAGCAAATAATTTGTCTTCAGGTATTGAATAATACTATTTATATACTTGGAAGCATGGCAGAGTTTATCTGTTTTTTCCATTGATAGCACAGATTTAGTTAGTAACACTTTTAATATGAAATACTATCCAGCAAGCATTTTTTTAAAAATACACTACACTTTCCAGGCAACTCTTCAGTAGGATTTCTAAAGTATTGAATCTCTAAATTTACCATGGTCTTTTGACAAAATTTTTGTTTACCATTCATACACTCAAGTGAATAGAATGATATTTTTACACAACTTTAAATAAGTACACGCATTCTCTAGTGAATTCATTCTCAGTACCAGTAAACCTGAAATACACTTATAAGTCCTAAAAAACTCAGGAGATAAACACATCAAAAGCATTAGTAAGATTTATGTAACTGCCTTATGCATTTTAGCCATCTGACAGTGTCAGATCTTTACAGCAGAACAAATATGTCAATCCCAGTTACACTTTTTATACGTATTGCAAAATAGGCTTCTCTTAAGCCTAATTTGTCCTTAAGTGTTTGTGATGTTCCAACAACAGTCCCAAGGTCCTGATCCAGCCCCTCTGCACAGAGCTAATCCCACAGTCATGGCCCTGAAAGCACTTCTATTATAATAACATGCAACTTAATGAAAACACTCAACTTATTAATTCTTTAAAAGAATGTATAGCTTTTAGGGGTCTGAGACGAAGGCAAAACCTCTGTGGGGCTGTGATCAATGTGGTTAGACCTCCACTGTTAGAGGAACACACATAAGGACACTGGGGCTGGCGCTCTGGCCCACTCAACTGTCTTCTCTCTTTAGCTTAGGAATTATGTGGGGAGTAAGTAGAACAGGAAACTTCTCCCTCCTCCCAGCTTATTAAATGATTTCCTGTCAGTCCTTAGAAAAAGCAACTCATTGCTCAAACCCTTAAGAAGCTGTGAGTGGCTCACACTCAGGCTGGGAACAACAGGAAGGGAAGGATAAGCAGAGCTAATTGGCCTTTTTACAGTTGGACAGGGTAGCCAGCACGTTGTAGATAATCTTTCTTCACCAGTGATACCTTGTTGGTCCTTTCCTCTCTTTCATTTGGCTTTGCCTTTAAACATGACCATGTCAGATGTGATCCTGGCCAACACCCATGGGCGACTTCATGACCTTCTCTACATACCCAGGACTCAGGGAAGCTGCATTTAAATCTGGTCACTCCACCATTTCCCATGCATAATGGAAATAATCCATTTTTCCAGTGGCCTTTTTCACATAATTAAAAAACCCAAATAAGCATGAGTAAGATCACCTAATATGTGAATTTCTGAAAAGACACACTTTTCAAAGTGATCTTTCTAAAACTATGTCAAATGTTGTTTATATGTTTTTTGTTAAACAAGCACATTTCCATCAGCAGTCTAATAAGAAGCCCAGTGACCAACATTTTGGCACCTAGACCATGGACTAGCTGGTACTACACATGAGGTTCCAGCAGTGCCAGTCATGGTATGTCAGGGACATTTTTGCTGAAGTGGGCCCTAAATTATCCTTCAAAGAACTAAGTGCTGAGTACAGTCCTTTGACCACAACTGCATAGCAAGTATTCCTTTCTGTTGTCATGTTCTGCTCCCAACATCCAAGCATAAAAAAGTGCACAAATTATATTAATACACATCTGATTTACTAATAAATCTGCATGTTTAAAATGCTAGATAAAGCCCACTTTAAAAATATATGAAATTCCAGGAATGACTTGTGACAAGTCAATGAGCATCATCACAGTGACTTAGAACCGGAGTGGTATTTCCAGACCTTAAAACCTCCTCAGTGCTCAACCCTGAATCATCCCCACTCATCCACTCAGAAAGGCCAAGTGCAGGAAAGGACACACTGGTCTTGATTCTTGAATAAGGTGGCTATTCCACAGGGCTCACCAGTAACACTCTGAGATTCCAGTGTAGCATGGAACAGGCTTTTTTTTTCACCAGCATGACACAGTCAAGGCATGTTAACTGTGGCACAAGGAGCTGTAGCACCTGATGCTTCATCAGTCACTGAGCACTGCTTGGTCTGAATTTTCTAGACTTTTTAGCTTACAAAAACACCATGGCAACATTTAAAAAGTGAAAAAAAATTGTCTTTCAAGACAATTTTCAAGACAAAACTATCAAGCTGGCCCCTTACTTTTCCTTGTGGAAGAAACAAGGCCAACCTGGGCAGCAAAATTGAAGATCTAGTTGCAACTCTCATTCTCTCCGCAGCTTTTACTTGGATTCAGATGTTTGCAGCATTTATACTTCCTGTTCTGCACTGCTTTAGAGCCAAAGTTGATGGTACATCCTGGAAACACATATTCTTAGAGGTGACAAAAACGTTGCCACCATTTATGACAAATAAAAATATCTCAGAGTTTGAAAAACTCACCATTACTTTTACACACAGAGTGCAAAATAAAGATGAATACACTGATTTTTTTTACCTTTGACATATCACACTTTTGTCTCTAGTTATTTTAAAACATATTTATTGCTAACTATCACAAAGTTTGGCCACCCTGAAGAAACACTTTGTGCAATGTGTACAACTGGAAGGGGGAAAGGGCAAGAAAAGGTGCGTCCCAGAAAATCCACATTTCTCCACTGATGATCAAACCTTTTAAGTAAAATGGTCCGACGGTTGTACTTCATCTAACAGTTAAAGATGTTTCATTCTGCACTAAAGACAGGCCCTTTTTTTGTCTCCTAAAACGTGTTTCTAATTTAAGTTTGAAAAAATATTTCCATTGTGCCATATATGCGGTAACTCAAAACCAAAATGAAAGGATTAAAATCAGGGCTGCACAGAATGGTTTAAATTAAATTCAGGTAGTGGGGAAGACTGCTGTATCTGGCAAGCTCTTACTTACTGAGCTTTCTGGCCAAGAGGCAAGATGAAGCATAACAATCCTTACCTGCCAAGTCTAGAGCAATTTTGAGGGTTTTATTCATCTCTTAAAATAAAATGTTAATGCTCTTGGAAACTTGCCTACCCATACAGTAGATCTCACCTGTCTTTTCTTGATCCTCACACAAATGTACCATAGTACGCTTCAGTAATGACTGAAAATGCTCTCTACCTTTTTTTTTTTTCTTTCTTTTTCTAAATGCACGGTATTTAAACTTATCACCCATTGCACCTCAATGGAAGACATGACTAAATCCTACAGCTATGCTGAAAATCTCAGCTAATAGGTTACAAACAGTTTGTGAAGAGCTGAAATCCGGACTGCGGAATGTCCTCTTCCTGTCTGTCACTCTTCTCACACCTATAAAACATTTGCAGTCTGCCCATAGTCTTCCTAATTAAATCTCCCCTCCCAAGTGGTTCTGATGATGGTGCAAACTGATTTATTTATGATTCATATTATTACACCCAGTGCAAAATCAGCCCCAAGGCTTCCCCAGATACAGTTATGTCCCTCAATGGATTGCTCCTGACTAAGAAAAGAAAGGCTAAGCAGAGTTCTATCTTTCAGAAAAGGCAGTGGAGTTGGAGAATTAAAGTTTTCATGGGCTTCTCAGGAGATTCCTCCAAACAGTAATATTAAATTATTTTTGCAATCATTTGGGAAGAAACGAAACACAAAGTAACACATGGATCTCTCTGGAGCTTTCTCCTAGGCTTGTGTGAGGTATGAAGATCTTTCAGAAGGTACCAGTAACAAACAGTTTAGTAACAGCCTGGCCTAATAAGGCCACAGCTAATCTGCTCAGACCATCTACCTCCAGGGAATTTTTTATTCCAAGCCAGGGAGTTCCCAACCTTTTTCTGCCGCATGTACAACCATCAGCAACAGCAAATACCTTCACTGGCAGGATCACTCCTGTTTGTTTGCCCGGCTGAGCCATTTTGAAGTGGTTTGTGCTCCTCCCAGCAGTACATTCATCACATTACCTAAGTTGTTGCATTCTACAGCGATCTATAAACCATTATTTGCTGTAAAACCCCCAAATTTGCAGCCATGCCATAACAGGTCACAGGCATAGCCACTTTGAGGAACTGTGTTCAAATCTAGTGTTTTAACACCATTTTCCATCTCCCTTGAAGATGATTTTTTAGGATACATCGACAAGAAAATTTTGACAACTTTGCCAAAAAAAACAAGTTTCAAATCTTTCTGGTTGGGACCGGGGGCATCGTAAGAGGTCAAAATCCAAAGAATTCTTTTATTGTATATCAAGATCATGTCTGATGAAATGCTGTGAGTTCTGAGCACTTTGGGGTGGACTGACAGCAAGTAATGGAACTCCTCCTAGCACTGTGCATTTGGCAAAACAGTGGTTTAAGAAAAAAGCAAAGTCATAGAACCATTTAGGTTGGAAAAGACATTGAAGATCACCCAGTCAGTTAGCTTTGTTCTTCATAATTTGTCAGGAAAAAAAGAAAAGTGTGACTAAGCAAGGTTGTAATAAAGGCTGCTTTTGTTGGTAACTTTGTTGGTAATTTTTTTTTCTTGGACCACATGTCGTGAAATGGGTTAGTAATTCTTGGAAACTAACGTGCACCACTTGCCACTGACAGGGAAAGTAGGCAAGGATGGCCCAAGGGAAAGACGTGGTACCCAAATTGCCCTTCTGCAGGCTGCTCTCAGATTGAGATGTACTCCAAAATGTGCAGAGATCCCTGCTGAAGGTCCTGCAAAGGGGTATCTGCCCCATACACAGTCTGCAGAACTGAGGAGTTGTTACAAAACTTGGCAGGGCTGAGAGACCAGGGAAAGAAAACTTCATTGTCAAACAGGAGGTAACTTTTCAGTTTTGCTTAAATTCACATCCCAAGTGACTTATTTCATGATGATTTCAACTGCCACATCAGTGACCTTTGTGTCCAAAATGTGTTTCCAGTACTGGCACATGCAGAAAGCTTTCTTCTTAAATTACAGAGAGTTCAAATAA